TAATCTCTCACCTGCTATTCTCATCCTTGCTCACTTAACTGCAACCTTTCAGGTCTCCTTGCTTTTCCTGGAGCACAGAGAGCAGGAAGCAACCCCATGGCCTTCACTTATGTTGTTCTGTGTGCCTGGAGCAGTATATCCCAACATGAATGTATGGCCTGCTCCTTCCTTCTAGGAAGCTGCTGAAAGGAAACCTAATATGAAATGCCTTCTATGTTCATCTGTCTTCCTGGCATGTTGCATATTTATTCATTTGTTTATTGTCTCTATTGCCACATCTATTTTCTTCATTGTTCCCGGTCTTGAAGGAGTGCCTAGTTTGTAGGAAGCACTCCACATATATTTGCTAAATATGGAAGAGTGGAACAAAAAGAGGTCTGTCAGAGTTTTGTGCCTGGGCCAGGGAAATGGAATTGGTAGAATGTTTGTTCTCCAGTCTCCAGCCTAAGTCTAAGGCTTAAGACAAAATAAGGGGCTTCAGGGAAAAGATGAAAGATTATTTCCATCATGGGTTTTAAAACACTAGTAATTCTGCCTAAATTCCCAAGTGATACAGCTGTGAAGTATAATAGAAATGAGTATTCCTACAAATTCTGCATGAAATAGAACACCATAAGGTTTAAAGGTAATGATGGTGCTCCTGGAGGAGCAGAAGAACACAATGATTAGGAAGTGTGGAAACAACTCATCTATGGGGTGACACCAAGAGGATTCTATTGGAATAGTAGCAGCAGTAAGAGTGAATCGGACTCATTCATGATACTACTTAAAACTTCTAATGGCTTCCAGAAATACAAAGGAAAATATTTTACCAAGATAGTGGCAATAATCATCAAAATTGGAGCACTGATTTTATACTTACATACTGGTGAGACCTGGGACAATTCAAATTATAGGAGTTACTTATAGGTAAATTTCAAAATAGCTTTGTACCTCTTTTTTTTAACTTTTAGAACTATTTTAAGTTAAAACTTTTTCTTTGAACTAAAACCTGCTCTATGTCCCTTCAGGTTTAAAGGGATTATATTTTAGAACACTAAAACCTTAAATTTAAGGAGAACCCTTCTCTAACACCCACATTTGGCAAACAGAAGTAAGGAAAAGCTAGAGATAAAATTAATGGTAGTTGATTTACATCTGTGTGCAGTCATTGGCCATGTACTATTTCTGGTAGAAAACACATGAACTTTGAAATCAGACAGACTTGAATTCAAATCATGTCTCCATCTCTTATTGACCATGAGGTTTTAGGCAAATTCTGTAACCATTCTGAGTATCTGTTTCCTCAGTACTGAATGAAGTTAACCATCCTACTGTTCTGTTTGTGGTATACTTGGCAATAGTTTTTAATATGCAATAATTATTTGATAAATAATAACTACTAATTATAGTATTATGTAGTCATTACTTTTGAGTCCAAAACGTATTAAAGGCAGAAACCTAGTGAGCGTCAGAAAAGCACAACCAAAGAACTTTCCATTTAGTAGGCATTCATTATGCAGTCACATCAGTTTTCTAAGAGTTTAGGTTCTTATCATTTTAAATTTCTGAAATCAAAGTAAAATGACTACTTACGGATTTCCAAATGAATTATTTGATGTGTTTTTCAGCTTTAGTGAAGTTTAATTAGCAAATAAAGATTTTATCTTTTCATTGTGTACATGTTTTGATATATATTATAAGATGATTATCACATCAAGCTAATTAGCACATCCATCAACTCACATAGTTACTTTTTTTGAGGTAAGAATACTTAAGATATATTCTCAGAAAATTTCAAGCATTCAGTACTGTACAATTAACGATGACCACCATGCTGTATCTTGGGGCTCATGAACTTACTGATAAGGTGTGTATCTGTTGGCCAACTTGATGCATCTTTTTTATTTTAACATCCAAATGTGATCATTTTGCATTTCCATAAATTACTTGATTGACTTAAAAAATTAGTGATGTCCCACATTGAAATTTTTAAACTCAGAGGATTGTGCCATGGTCCCAGAGGGCTGATGTATAAGAATGAAAAGACCTGGTGAGAAAAATGCCAGTGGCTGTGCCACTGGCTCATATTCTACCTTTCCACAAGAGATGATCATATAGGGCTTTCCTCTAGGGGTTTCCACACAACATGTATGATAAATCATATGAGTTTTCTAGAGAAGCAATGTGGCTATACTGCTTGACAGATCTCAGTTACAATCTCAACTCCCTCACCTACTAACTGGACTACTTTGGGCAAATTGCTTAACTTTTCTGAGTCTCATTTTCCTCCTTGCAAGATTTAACAATGATAATATAAACTTCAGAGAATGATTTTGCTACCAAGGTTTAGGGACTTTACCTAGCATGAGAGTGGCTCAAGAAGTATTAAATGCCAGCTTAATAAAAGTGAGTCACAGAAGAGCATAAAAATCAAGAAGTCACCATAAAAGACCAAGATCTCATCTTGATCATCACAAGACTCATGAGAGACCCAAGACAGGACCACCTGAGGGTAGTAATAGTATTCAGTCCTAGTCCAGGGCATGGAACCTCACTACATTGCTTTCTATGGAAACACTGGGCCATATGAAAGATGAGAAGACACTTGGATCTTGTTGTGACTTCAGCATGCAAATCTCTGAAGTGATCAGTGAGGGAATGAATTACACTTAGAGTGAGTTGGGTAGCATCCCTGAAATTTTCATTTCTGTCTAAAACCTTATAATGTGGCCTCATTTAGAAATATGGGATTGAAGATATAATAATAAGATGAGGTTGTATTGGATTGGGGTGGGTCTGTAATTCAATGATTGGAGTGCTTACAAAAAGAGGAGAAGACACGCAGGAAGAAGAGGCCATGTAAAGACGTATTTATAGAATGGAGGATGTGTCTACAGCCCAAGGAATACCACAATCACAAGGAGCCACCAGCAGCCAGGAAAAGGAAGGAAGGGGTTCTTCAGAAGAAGAGGGAATTGCAGAAATCGTGATTTTGGACTTCCAGCTTCCATAACTATGAAAAATAACTTTCTGCTGTTTGAAGCCACTGAGCTTGTAGTAACTATGACTGCCCTAGGAATCAATGCACATCCACTCTGTATCCCATCAGGATTGTACGAGTTTTGACAAGGCCATTTCTCCAAGACTGATTACTTTTCCTCCTCTGCAGTTCCTTTTCCTTTCTCCACAGTTTAGCTCTTGGATACCCTCCCCTCAACCTTTAGGTTATCAGTTTCTAGTATTATTCTAGTGTCACTGTTTCCAGTGTGGTTCTGGGCTTCCCTAAGCTCAGTGCATCTCTGGCTTTGGACTGAAGCCAGCACATGGAAGGCTGGGCCTCAAGTTCTCCTGTCTGCCTCAACAGACAGTGATCAAAACCCATGGCACTTGCCCTTGATTCTTCACCTGCAAAATAGAGTGAGAAACAACCATGTTCTCACACAGGTTACTGAGTTTAAAATATGATCCATGAGAAAGAGCTTGTAAAAGCAAAGGATCAATTAAATGTGTAAGAAGTTCTTCCATTATTATTAAAAGCCCTGTGGAAGAGGAAGGAGCTGCCAAATCCAGGCTGTGCTTCTCTGAGCTCAGAGCCATGTTGATAACCCTGATTTCCTACGGGTCTTTCCCCACTATCTGTGTCTTTGCAATTCACTAACTTGATTCCAAAGAGGTAATGTCATGATATTTGTCTGTAATCAATGGGAAGTGAGGACTTTAATACAGTTACTGAAGACCCCAGAACCAGAATCAGTCTCTCACCATGACTTGGAAAAAGAGGAGGACAGAAGTCTAAGAAATGCTGGTTATATTTCTTAAGCCCCTAGAGTCTACACTATTATTAACAGGGAGGGGGCTGGTGGAGTGGCTCAAGTGGCAGAGCGCCTGCTTAGCAAGCATGAGGCCCTGAGTTCAAACCCCAGTACCACAAAAAAAAAAAAAAAAAAAAAAAAAAAAAAACAGGGAGGTACTCAAATTTGATTTATTAGAAAAAAAATCTGTAGAAATTTTGGCATCATGGAATTTTTATATTAAAAAATAAAGCAGCTTGGTAAAGAAGAAAATTTCAATGTTACATTTAGTCTTATTTTTTAAGTAAAAAAAATAATCAATCTTAATCAAAAAAATTAATTAATTAAATTTAAAAAATCAATTAATCAAAAAAAATAGTCAATCTTAATTTAAGATAATGGAGGAAGTGAAGTAATTAAAACCAACAAATAAGTTAGTATTAGACTAATAATTTTCCCTCTCACCACCATCCTCCTACATTATGTCATTTTTCACACACATTATTTATTACATTATTTAAAACATACTTTTCACATTTTAGCATCTATGAGATCAGTATGTATTGCAATCAATGCTGCCTTTCATCTACAAGTACCAGGTTTTATTTTATCTGAGTGGTATCTATAAAATAAGTGCACTCTATAATTGAGGAATCTTAGATTCTATGAAATATGGTATTTTAGTTTAATGAAGATGGAATTTTTGAGACCTGTACTTAAATTTTTTTTGCTTTGTATAATGTTTTTTTATCATTTCTCAGCAAAACAATTGTGATATATTTTCTGCCCAGAAATGCTGCTTGATTTAGAATTTAGTCATTTGTTCTTCTCTAGAATAAATGTATCATTAGTGCAATTCTGACACCAAAAAAATACAGAGAAACTAGATTTGAAAAGAAAAGTACAATATCATATGAGGGAAATTAAATTATTTCATTTCCATAATTACATTCTTGCAATGGCCCCACAGAACCCAGCAAGTTTCCTGCTACGTCTGAGTGTTAAATGGCAGCAAGAGCACTGGCTTTGGCCTCTGACCTGCTTCTGGAGACATGGCTACCCTTTCTGTGTCATAGTCTTACAAGTCAAATGAAAGGACTGAGGTCTGATCTATGTGGGAACTTCTGATAACTCTTAGTTTAGGAAGATTTATTCACACAGACAGTTCACACACACACATCTACTTAGCTTCACAAAGCAAAGCTGTTCTGGGGGCCCTTGTCTTACCAGTGGAATCGATGACTTGCTGAAAGTTTTCATTTACAGAGACACTATAAAAGAAACAGAAGTATTGTGAGTCAAACAAAGTGTGTAAATAAATTATACTAAATTGCTTTTTTCATTAAACTTATAAGTGCAAATACAGAGTTAAATTTTATTAAGAGAGGACTTTTGGCAACCAGTGAACAGAGAACCATTAAATAGCATTGTATTTTGTACTTTTAAATGGATAGAAAGGATTTATAATAATAGGGTAATCCTTCAAGTACCCAATTAATATGAAAATCCTATATATCTCCCCTTGCCCAGGCAGGATTACTCACATTGCTTTCATGGATCTTTGGAAGGGAAATATAAGGCAGAAAGAAACACTTACAAGAATCCAGAGTCCAGCCACTGCTGGATGCTTTCCTGTTTGGAATGTTCTATAAACAAGAAAGGAACAGACCTGTTAGAAAAGGACAACAAGGAACAAGACTCCAGGCTATCATTCAGCCACACTCAGTTACTCTATTTCCTACATAGCTAGTCACATGTTTCAATAAGCACATTCATTTTTCTCCCTGAAGGCAAAACCTCCTGTTTGCCTGAGAATGAAGTGTAAAGTTGCCAAGCAGTATAACTTTAAAAATAAAATAATGTTAAAGAGAAGGACAATAAATCAGTGAAGAGCAAGAGATTTTAGAATAGTTTTTCGATTACCTGGTGAGAACACAAAGGGTGGAAAAGCATGTGAGACTTTCCTTTCTCTGGTTAGGTCTAAATCTCACCACAGAGCCTCTCCTTATTGAATCCCCACATTTACCTAAGGCAGCCAGCCAGTCATGTTTATTTGCAAGGAGTTCTTTGCCAGGTTAGAAACCAAATTTGCATTCATTCCAGGGACAAATTGCACTAGAGTCCCTGGATTGCCAAAGGCAACCTGTACTAAAAGAGCACCAGTCTTTTAAGGTGGCTCTGTCTCCTGGCTCAACAAAAATAGTCAACAGGGGAAAAGGACGATGTAAAGGCAGAATTTCCACGGGGAAATTTGTTTCCATTCTGGTTGGCTACTACCCACCTGAGGGAGGTCGTCTTTGACTTTACCCTACCAAACAGGGAGGCAGTTGAATTATCCCCCTCACATGGTGTCAGGTGAACCAACAAAGCCAGTGGGTCTGAAAGATATTGATAGCTCATCAATCAAGGTACCATGAAAGGGTAGAATGAATTGTGGGATGAGCAAAGAAGAAAAATCTTCCAACATTTATGTCTGGGAGTTGGGGTGGGGGGAGCTGGGAAGAAGTACTATCTTATTTTAATAGCTTTTAATTTGTTAAAATGATTATCAATGCCTCATGCAAGACCCTAAGATCCTTTCAACAAAATGATGTCCTGAAAGAAGCCTCATATCTCAGCATGGACCCTATTTAGCCTCAAAGTCCTGGCAACTTAGGATGAGGGAATGTTGGAATAGAAAAGAACCAGAGTTCATTCATTAGTTGGTCTCCTTCTGTTAAGAAGGACTGTATTGTCAGTGTCAGTGGAAAGTCAGAAGTGTCCATTTCATAGAACTTTCTAGCATCATGCCAGGAATACTGGGTTTTTTTGTTTTTTATTAAGCTAAGTCTTTGTTCCAAAACCCTCTATCCCCAGTCAAAAGTCCCCCATCCCTCATCATGCACAGCAGGACATTTTTCAGATAGCCCTAAGGGCCCTTCTCACCCAGGATGGGGATGGTGAAAGTCTGGTTTTCTTCCTCAGAAGCAGAAAACAGTTGCCCATCCAAAGGCATCCAGGCTGTCTTGGTGTACCTCAAAATCTCTCGCTTGCTCTTTTCCTGGCCTTCTTGAGGCTTGTCAGATCCTTGGGATTTCTCTGCCATTGTGAGAGGGTAATTCTGCAAACAAACTTAAATCAAACAAATAAGTAATCCAGCTTCACCATATCATGCCTGTTTCACCCACCTCAGCCAAGCTCTAAGTTTGCTGGAGACCAGGAATTAGTTTGGTCTTGCCAGTCAATAGGCCACATTCATACTTTGAAGGACTCAATTTGGTGGTCTAGGGTATGGATGGAAAACAAAAAAATTGGACTTGGTAACACACCTAATAAATTTTTTTCAAATTTATCTAGTCACATCTCTAAAAATATTTTTAAAGACCCAAAATGATGGAGGAAAATGAAGGCTTTGGCAACAGATAATCTTGGTTGAGCCTCAGACTCTGCAACTTGTTGGGTGGCCTTGTGTAAATTACATAACATGTGTGTAACCCCTTTATTTTCAAATTGGGGACACAATTGTACTACATCTTGATAACCATTGAGTAATTATTATGGCTAGCTTCTATGCTGAGTTCTATACATCAACTACATAATTTATTTTTCTTTTTTTTGGTGGGAGGGATTTTGCAGAATTCAAGGCTTTTGTACTTGCTAGGCAGGTGCTCTACCACTTGACCCATATCCCTAGCCTCTTTTTCTTTAGTGTTTTTTTTCAGGTAGAGTCTCACATTTTTGCCCAGGGCAGGCCTCAGGCCACCATCTCTCACCTATGACCTCCAGCATAGCTGGTACAGGTGTGAGCCTCCACACCTATCCCCATAATTAAATTTTCAATGAAGTAAATAATATGATTATCACAATTTGTAGTTGAAAAGCAGAAATTAAGTTGTATATCCAAAGCCAGGTCAAATTCAAGCAGGTCCTGGACCCTAAGCACGTTCCTATGACTGTACCATCTACACTATACAGTGTTTGGAACAAATAAAATATTCATGAATATATTATGCAGTTGGAATAAGAACTATCAGCTATCACCACTATCTCATTTGACCTTTATTAATTTCCTTATGAAATTCACAAGGTGAGAGCAGGAGACAGGCGCTTACAACAGCTCATTTACACAATTGGCTCAATCTCCTGAGATAATAATCACCTTGAATTGAGAGCCATCTTGTTACTCATTTATGTGTCTCTAGTATTTGATTGTATTTTGGCACATAGTAGGTATTAAGCCAACATGTAAAAAACCTAAATAGCAAAAGTAGAGCTCAAACCTACACTTTCTGACTAAGTTCTTTCCATGGAATTCATTTGAATTAGCATTAGTTTATTCTTCAAGTTTAGAGAAATAACCAAAAAAGCCAAACACCTACTTCAGCAGCAACTCTAACACCCCTACATTTCTGCAGTCACTGATCATGTGACATGTTAACCATCACTTCTAATCAGGGTTTTAAAAAGGCAAATCACTTTGCACAATTATAAACATCAGAATAGTCTTTCAAATGCAGCAAGCATTTTAGATGCAATTAACAGTAACAATTTCCTTATATGTTTTATAGAGTCAAGTTCTATCATTTAACTGAAGTATAAATACACATTTTCTGTTGCATTCATAAATTACTGCAAAAAATAATGATAATCATGATGACTTAATTTTATATTCAAAAAAGCAAAACCTAAGAAATTTCAGTTAGTTAAAAATTAGGGCAAAAGGTGGACAATTAATATCTATATTAACAGCAAACATGTTAGCCAGCTGATTTTAGGAAGTTACCTGCAGGAATATCCTCTAGCAAATCATAAAAATTTTGGTGATAACAAGACAAAAATAATACAGATGAGATTCTATTTTTCACCTTTATAGAGTTGTATAGTATACTAGAATTCCTAACACTAGACAAAATAACCTTTAGGAATTGCACTGAATATTTTGCTATTTATTTTTGCATGGATTTTGGATCTTTTGTGTTAGAAAAATTCTCTTTGTCCGGGCCTTGCATATTGTGGGTGTGAAGGAGAATTAGAACATCCACTTTGACAGGGCAAAACTTCACAAGGAGAAAAACTCTTAAATTATGCTCAGCAACACCCATGAAATATGAGACTCAATAAAGGATCAGAAGGTTTGAAAAAAAAAAGGATAACATATTTTAGAAAAACAAGGTTCCTCAAATAATCTGCCTCCTCATGACCTCAGCAAAAGCAAACTTCTATTTAGCACAGGAGGTGCTGCTTTATAGAGAAAACAGGCGCCACCAAGCAACTGAAGGCACTTAAAAGCTGCTTTGTAATACAACATCAAATGTCAATCTAGCTACTGCTTTTCACGTATAACACTATAAAAATTGTTAAGTTTTTAGATGAAATGCTGTTTTGTTTTTTGTGCCCTAAACTTCTATTCTATAATGGCAAATTTGAGGTCAGCTGCCAGCCATGCTCAACCAGTGAAGATCTGCTCTCTGCCAGCTTGGTTGGTTTTGGCAGTGGAACAGGAAAAAGCCTGGCAAAGAAAGTGGGAGTCAAGGGTCAAGGACTGACTGGTAAAGAAAACCTCTTTTGTTCCCTCTGTTTTAGTGGATGCCTTCCCAGTTAGTAAACAAATCTGCTTTTGGAACTAGATTCTCCAGTGACCCCGTGACCTACCTTTAATAACCATTCATGTTACCCCAGAGCAGTCCTTGGAAAGGGACACAGATCAGGTAGCAGCCCTGAATTGCTATTGGAAAGAGGGGCAGAAGTTATGACACAGGGCCCCTACTGACTACTTTACTTAACCCCACTGTCTCCAGGACCAGCTGGAACCCAGGTCATGCCAGCTTTGATGCGGCCTGAAGTAGAATCCTTTTGCTGGGTCATGTTATCCTCTGTACCTGAGGGACCCAGTACTTTCCCTCATCAGATTCCTTTCCTTTTGCCTACTGTGCTGTCATTAATCCCTGTGTGTATGATGAGGGAAATTGCTTATATCATCATGTTTTATCTTTAAAAGACATAAAACTATATATATACAAAGAATTCCATTTTGTAAAAACAAAACACTAAGGCAAAGAAGAAAAAGAAATGGGTCAAAACGCTATCAGGTTTTCAAATTTTCAAACATAATCAAAATGATAAAAATAATTAGTTTTGTGAAATTAACTCTACCTCATTTTTTTTAACTTGAACAACTTTAGCCATACCTGCCTGTAAAGGCTTCAGCCCATAATAAAGTCATAGAAGTTGGCACATTTTTTTTATAGTGCTGGGATTTGAACTCAGATTCTGGCACTTGCTAGGCTGCCATCTGAGTCATGCCCTCAGTCCTTTTCGTTTTAGGTTATTTTTCAGATATGTTCATGCTTTTTGTCTGGGGCTAGCCTCACATAAAGATCCTCCTACCTATACCTGCCATATAGCTGAAATTACAGGGATGTACCACCATGCCCAGCTTATTGAGATAGGGACTTGCTAACTTTTTGCCTGGTCTAGCGTGAAGCCATGATCTTCCCCATCTCTACCTCTTGAGTAGCTAAGATTACAGGCACGAACAACTGTGCCCAGATAGATATTTTGATACTAGAAAGCAGTAACCATCATATATTCTTGACCTTTGGGGTTAATTAATGTTTTGTGCCTCTATTCAAACAGGCTGTCTTGACAAAAAGGTCATTCACAGTGCAAAAATCAAGACTGTGTTCTGTTTGTCCCAGAATCCAGTATAACACTTGGTCCAGGGTAAATAATCTGTAGTTACTAGTTGATTGCTTGATTTCTTAGGAAAGGAACACCCATTTAGCTTAGCCAGCATTCTTGGTTCTTCTGTAGTTAAACAAGCAACTGCTTTCAGGTCAGATGGTCCTGGATTTTCATCTTAGCTCTGTGGCTTTCTGACATCTTAGGGGAAATTTTTCAAACATCTCTGATAATGTATTCCCTCATATCTGCAAAAGGCATAAAATAACTGCCTCTAAGAGGCTGTTGGGACAAACGCCTGGAAATGTATATAAAACAATCAACACTCGTATTTGTTTCTTTCTTTTTCTTTTCTCTTTTCTGTTTCCTCTTGCCATTATCCTGCCAAGAACTGCCACATGGAGGGGAAATATCATCAATCAATTGATGCAAGCATTTTTCTCATGGAAAATAGAGTTGCCACTCTTAGTTTGTGGTTAACCTGTATTTCACAAGATTATTTATTTTAGATAATTGAGAATTTGGAGAGGGGTACTGTGAGAAGAGTGACCGTGAGAATGAGAGTTCCTTAAGGCTAATTAGAGGTTTTGATCAAGGCCTTGAAATTCCTTAAAAAGTGTACCAGGATATAATTGTACTGTGTAGTGCCATCCTTTGTCACCACTTCTAAATAAGCGCTGTGGTCAAGAATGGAAATTTGAGCCATTCTGGATCCACAGGGGATCTCTAACACCAGGTTGCTGTCTCCTCTCTGGACCCTCTTTATCACAATCTTGCTTCAGGCTCTTATAAAAATCTCAAATAGTGTTCAGGATTGCCTTACTCCCATCCATCCTCTTTATATAGTGACTTCCCCAATAGCAACATTTAAGAGATGTCTACATACATCCACATGCTCCATGCAGACCAGCCTCTTTCCCAGCTGTGATACCATTCACAGAAGTCTACAAAGAAAATATCCAGAGCTCATATTATCAAAACAATGATTACAATGAGCTTCAATATTACTAACCTCACCTCCACAAACTAAGAGCCAGTCCTGAGAGGCTGGTAGAGTAACAGAACTGGAGACCAGGAGAGTAAACCCCCAAAGCATCCTTGAGTCATACTCATGTGGCAGTGATATTGCTTCATCTGACCCAATCTCCCACCCTTCCTGGAGTCTTTCAAACTGTGGGCCCTCTGAATTCACGCACTGCAATCTGCCAACTCCCCATCATTCTAGCCTCTTCATTAAATATGCCTTCATCTCCTTTTTCTAATTAAAACCTAAGTGTGGTTACTTTGCTGCTCTCTCAAGCTGTGACTTTGTTTTTCTTTCTCTTACCATACCAATAGTCCAAAAGTATGAGCCATTCTCTTGGAGATGATATAAATTTCTTCCATGTTCTTCATTGCTGCTTTCAGACCTCATTTGCTCTGTCTTTTGAAGCAGATACTATCAGACTATTGAAGAGTAAACATTTAAGACACTCACCCTCATTTAGTGAAAAATTTTGAGTGGAAGACCTGTCTTCTCTCTGGAAGATTGTGTTATTGATGTTGAGAGCCCAGTAGCACTGGGCCACTCAATTCCATAACCTCTTCAGCTCAATTTCCCAAGGTCATACTTTAACACTGAAAGAGAATACCCACCAAGTACCAGTTGCATCATCTGCTGTCACCTCCAGACTTTGGGCACCATTTTTGCCCTTCTTATTGGATCATTCGCTTCATCTTACAACACACTGTAATGTGACCCATCTTTTTTTCCATTGAATTTTTTATTAGAATATATTTGTTGTACATGGGGAGACCCATTGTGACAATTCCAAATAGGCTTATATTGTACATTGGTTGGATCATCCCCACTGTCTCTACCCCTTGACCCCACCCCACTTAAAAGTATTGCAAGAGGTTTCTTTGTTCTATTTTGTGTAGGTATATGAAGTCATCAACCATATTCCTTCACTTTAATCTCCTCCTCCATTCCTTTCTCAAATCTCTGTCCAATTTCAACTTATGATGATTTTCTATTCAACTTATGATGATTCCCAAATTTACACTTACAAATCTGGTCTAGCTTCTGAACTTCAGATGAGGGTATTCCCACTTACTTGAGATTTTTACTTGGATATTCATAGGCAAACTTAACATGTGCCACTCTGAATTCTTCATTTTTTCCTTGACTTCTACTTGCCTCCCAACATAACTGCCCCTATTCCAGTGTTCTCCATCTCAACGAATGGCATCACTATCAGGGAAGCTGGTCAGTGGATTCCTCTCTTCCTTTCATATCTCACATTAAGCCATTAAAAAAGAGCTGCATCCTTCCAATGTATCAAACCAGCCACCTCTGCTGCTACCAACTTGATACCAACCACAACTTGGGTTCTCACTTGGATCATAGAAAGGACTCCCATCTACAGCACCATCACCACCTTTCACCTCTAAATCACCCGAGTCAGTAAGTTAGGTAGAGTTTTGGGTAGACTTGGAAGTAGTTGATCACTTCCTCTTCATGAAAACAATCTTTTAATTTGGTTTTTAATATCACACTCTCCAAAATTTCCTCCTACCCCACTAAAACTTTTGTCTCACTCTTTTGCTGGTTTTCCTCTTTCTCACCTCTAAATTCTATATATTCTATACCTCATTCTTCAGCCTCCTTTATCCCTTTTATCTACATGCTTTCCCTATATCAGTATGTCTTTATTTGCTCCTCTTAATACCATAGTTATGTATAAATCACTATTGAGGTATTTTTACTTTGTTTTATAAGTCTGTGTTTACACTTCAATTTAACACCATGAGAGTTTCTTCAGGACAGAGATCTTAGCTCCTATATAATTTGCATGAAAGCTATTCAGTGTATGTTTGTTGAATGAGTGCCTATATAAATGAATACCAAAATGGAATTGAGAAATATCAAAGCAAATCTGGTTATGCAACAATTAAGGGTAGCTTGGTATTTAGTAGTTAAACAACTTATCAGAAGGTGCGACTACTATACACTTCCCAGATATTATTTACTGCATCAAGGAGTAATCATGGTAGATCTGAGTTGGAAAAATGATAAGATTATAGACACACATGCACACTATTCCTCTCTGAATAAATAATGTCTAAAAATAAATACTATTTGAATAAATATTTTCTTTTACCTTGTCTTATGTCTCTCTCAACAGCTAACAAGCAAAGGAAAGATTTAATCCATCACCAGGGAAACAAAAAGCATGCAGTTTCAAGTTTAATTAACTAACAAATAGTTATCAGTTGGCTGTGTGACATAGGGCATGTAGCTTCCAGTTCTCTTGGAATGTAATTTCCTTTTCCACAATATGAGAGAGTTGGATGAGATGAGATAATTCCATAAGTACACTATTCTGTTTCCAGTTTCCACATAGACAATTTAATATTTGGCCAATGGAGTTCACATTTTAAAATATTTTAAAGTTATATTCATTGGAATTATAAAAATTGGAAGAATAAACCATTGTTAGCATTACTCATAGGTTTAGAAGACTCAAAAGCTCAAGCAACAAAGTCAAGCCAGGAATGCCCTTCTGCTCTTCCTTCCTATCCAAGTATCAAAGTCCCACAAACACTTGTAAAGATTTCCAAATGATTCAGTGAAGTAGAGGCAGATCCTGGGGAAGAGAGTGTTCTGTCAACACTCTGTTTGGAGGAACAAGCAGTCTGTGATGACTTGTTCTGTGGGTGTCTTCCTCCCACCATGAAATATGTGAAGGGTGCTCACTCCTGCCATTTAGGAGCAAGCTGGATTTAAAGACAAGGCAGTTGTGCCCAAGTTGGAACCCAAAGTCAAACTTCTGAACTTCAAGTTTTCAAAAATCTTATATTTTTGAAAATACGCAAAAATCTTATTAATTAAAGGACTTTATATACAACTTTCTGGAAACTTAAAATGGCTTTAAGGCTGGTAACCTAGGACCAATTGCTTCATCTACTGGTAGCCCTATTCCATTCTCTTTCAGCTTTAAAGAAATTCTTCTTCTCTCACTGTTTCTACTCTTATCTTTTCAACATTTTCCTTCTCTCATCCTGAAGAAGAATAAGGGAACATCTGTGATCTAACTTTTATCTTCTATTCCAATGTCACTGCAATCCAAGTTCCTTTACCTATGTCCTTTTCTGAATACAGAGAACTAATGTTCACAAATGCACCTTCCTCTCTAATCCCA